TCAAACTCACAGAGATTCACCTGTCTCTGCCTCCTGAGTGCTGGGATTAAAGGCCTGTGTTCCCACCTGACCAACAACATCTCCTTTCTAACACTGACAAGATAATTGGGGAATTTGGGGCCAAATTGCCCTGTGGAGGACCCTGGGTTGTATGTATTTGGGGGAGGAGGGGAGATGAAGATCTTGGACCCAGCCTACTCTCTCTGAAGCCAGAGCCTGGCAGGCAGGTGCTACAGCTTCTCTGAGCCTTTGAGACTGCATCTGGAGAGCTGGGGTAATATTGGAAATTCAGTTCCACCTTACAGACTAACTAGATCTCCAGTCTGCATCACACCAGCACTGGTCAGCTCAGCTCTACTATGACTACTGCAACCTGCTCTGCTTCTGGTCCTAGACAATGTCTACACTTCCTTGGGCGTGGTTACTTCTACAGCAGTCTTAGTACTGGGTGTAAGGAGGCTGATGGGCGTTTTTATGTATGGAAATTGTTCTCATTTATGTTTCATTAAGGAAGCCTGTAAGCCCTGCTTTGCAGGAGACACATCATCACACCCTTGACTGTGAGCAACCAAATTAAGAAAATCACTTTCTGACTAATTTTATGGAATTAACAAACATTTGATGGCATATTGGGAAGGCGGTGCCTAGCTTTTTGGATGAAAGCTATTAAGGATGAGCAATAATTGGGGAATTTTCTGAAGATAAATCTTAGCAAAATTAACCTACTTTAAAACACAGTTTGCAGGCTGGTGGTGTAGTTTAATGGAGGAATGCTTGCCTAGCATGTACAAGGCCCTGCATTCAATTCCTAGTTCTACAAAATTATTTATTTATTTATTTTGGTTTTTCGAGACAGGGCTTCTCTGTGGCTTTGGAGGCTGTCCTAGAACTAGCTCTTGTAGACCAGGCTGGTCTCAAACTCACAGAGATCCGCCTGCCTCTGCCTCCCGAGTGCTGGGATTAAAGGCGTGCGCCACCAATGCCCAGCAAAATTATTTTTTTAAAGTGTACTCTGAAGCCAGGTGTTGTGGAACTATGTAAAGATGCATTTGTTTGTGTAGCAGAAAAATTGATTAGCTATGTAAAGATGTGTTGCTGTTTTGCCTTGCCTGCATAAGTCACCTGATTCATCTAATAAAAAGCTGAATGGCCAATAGCTAGGCAAAGGAGGGATAGGCTGGGCTGGTGGGCAGAAAGAAAGGGGGAGCCAGTCAGCCAGCATGGGTCCAGCAAGCAAGACACGGGGCAGCACATAGGTTAATAGAACTAGGTTTAAAAAAAAAAAGTAGCTGGAAATAAGCCTAAGCTAAAGTCAAGCAGTCATAATTAATAAGTCTCTGTGTTATGATTTGGGGGCTGGCAATCCAGGTATGATGGAACATGCCTTTAATCTCAGCACTAGGGAGGCAGGTAAATCTCTGTAAATTCAAGGCCAGTCTAGATAAGTGGATTCCAGGACAGTGAGGACTACATAGGGAGACCTTGCCTCATAAACAAAACAGCCTACAAAGGTAGTTGAAGATACATACTGATGTCATTCAGCATGATGATGATCTGGGGCAAGAGGACACGGTCACACACGCGCGCACGCACGCACGCACGCAGACGCAGACACAGACACACACACACGCACACATGCACACACAGACGCACACACGCACACACGCACACACGCACGCACGCACGCACTCACACACACAGACACAGACACACTCACACACACACACACACACTCACACACACACACATATGCACACACACCACACACACACACACACACACACGCACGCACGCGCGCACACACACACCACACACACACACACGCACACGCGCACAGACACTCACACACTCACACACACACACACACACACGCACACGCGCACACCCACTCACACACTCACACACCCACACAGACACAGACACACACACACGCACACATGCACACACAGACGCACACACGCACACACGCACGCACGCACGCACTCACACACACAGACACAGACAGACACACACACACACACACACAGACCTGCAAAGCCAGAGGTGCACACAGATGCAGTGAGCACTCGGGATCCCCCCAGAAGCCAGAGGGGCACATGAGTGATGTCTACAGATATTCGGGAATGCAGGAATTACAGAATATAAAGATAGATACACAGGCCAAGGAAAAACAACAGGTACAGTACCCCACTATACACAAAAGCCAGAGAGCCACGTGATCTAGATAAGGCATATAGCCTCATTCATATACCACCCACATCCACAAACACATGCAACAGACATCCAAACACACACCTGCTGATAAGACTGGGCACTGAGTCTTACTGTCTGTCTGGAGCTCGGCTCCCACCTGAACCCATAGGAAAAATGGACATGAAGTCCCCTGTGGAGAAAGCTTGCAGGTGTCAATGCACTCCAGAGCAGGAAATTCTACACAGGAGGAGCCTAGGGATCTGTCGATTCAAGTCAAGTCTAATACACCTGCATATGCTAGGGCCTGTCTGTGCAGGCCTAGGCTCTATGTGCAGGCACCAAGGCAAGGCCCTCCTGGGTCTGTTGCTCAGATGAGAACCCTACAGCCCGCCGTACTGTGGACCAGTTGGTTCCCTTCCTGCTACCATCTGTCACTCCTATGCAGCTGCCACAGGGGGCTAAGCTACAAGCATCTGGCAAGTTAATTGTAGGCTTTCTAAGAAAACATTAGAAAAGCAGGGTTTGGGAGAATGCTTGTATGATGATTGTGGACTTAGAGCACAAAAGTGGCCTGGTAGCTCAGAGTAGTGATGCCCCCCAGATACTCTAGCGGTCTCAGGTCTGTCTACATTAGCTTAGGTAGCCCAGAGATCACCTGTTATCTAACTTGGGTTAGCTATAGAACCTCTGCCTAACACACACACACACACACACACACACACACACACACACCCACCCACCCCCCCCCCCCCCCCCCCCCCCCCCCCCCCCCCCCCCCCCCCCCCCCCCCCCCCCCCCCCCCCCCCCCCCCCCCCCCCCCCCCCCCCCCCCCCCCCCCCCCCCCCCCCCCCCCCCCCCCCCCCCCCCCCCCCCCCCCCCCCCCCCCCCCCCCCCCCCCCCCCCCCCCCCCCCCCCCCCCCACACACACACACCCACCCACTCCCACACACTCTCACACACAGACACACTCACACACACTCTCACACACACACACACACACACACACACAGAGACACACACATACACTCACACACACACACACTCTCACACACACACACTCACACAGCCACACAGCCACAGCATCAGGAGCCTGCTCTAAGATATAGTATTCTTCCTGCCCATCAGATGTTTCAGACCTCTGGATATTTAGAGATGGGACTCAGATTTACCCCTCTGCCCAGGACCTGACCCAGATATAGGTGACTCCAGTTGACTCCACTTCTGGCTGGGGGCTTTCAGTCCCCATCGTTCCTAGTACTGCCAGCAGGATCTTCTGTGGCTACTGGAGCCCTCTAAAAAGTAGGCTTTGGTCGGAGTTCTTAGCAGCTTACTCCCCAGTGTCTAGCACAGCCCTGGGCAGAGTGACATTCTTGGGAGCATCAGGTCACATGGTGCAGGGGAGGGCAAGAGAAGGCAGGTCCTTCATACCTGGGGCATCTACAACCACGCTCAAGGGCTGCTGTACTCAATGCTTAGACGTTAACAAGGATGCGTAGAAGGGTGTAAGTCTCCCTGTGAAAGGTCCCGGTAGGTGATCGCCTACAGGAACCACCTCTCCAAAATCAAAGGCCCAAATACTGAACTTTTTCAGCCAAACCCAGGCTGACAGTGGAGCAAGGTCTGGTAGGTCCTGACTTTCTACATTCTCAGGTACAAAGTGTGGTTAGGAGAGTAAGGAGTGCAGATAGAAGGAGAAGGCCCTAGGCCCCTCCTCCAATCAAGGCAGGTATCCCCACCCTTGCTCTGGCCTCTGAAAGGCCCACTGCGCCTGAGCTGCTGATCCATCCGAATTCCTTCCTCGCTTTCTTTCCAGCGCCCAGGAATCCCACCCAAGTAGATACCAGGGTCGGGGGAGCTGCTCCAGTAGGCCCCACTGGGTAACTAATGGGTTAATTACATATCCCATAAAAAGCCACTGTGATTTAGAGAGTGAGTCAGGCAGGCCCTAACTAGCAGTAAATCAGGGCTGCAGGGATGAGGCAGGTGGAGTCCCAGCCCCAGCCCTCCAATGAGACAAAAAGGCAGTAAATCTGCAGAAATGGCTTTTATGAAGCTCTGGGTTTTATGATGTCATTAATGTTTCTCCTGATACTTAAGGGAAAATGAAGTAAGTCACAAGGAGGTGTGAGAGCTACTCTGGTTGGTTGCTAGGCCACTCCACAAACTCAGGCAGAAGAGGGAATTGCCTGCACCTGAGTTCATGCCCCCAGTTGACCTGGGTATGCCTGCCCACCTGGGGATTCATGCAGCATGGGTTTATTGAATGCTGTCCTGCCCCGGTGGGGCTCTCCATGGGTCAGGAGCCCACCATTTGGGCACACATTCATCCCCACAATCTCTCCATACAGAGTAGCTCTGGACTTCTCAGTGTCTAGCCTAAATCCAAACTCCTTTAGTAGACAGAAGGGACTGGATGATGGAGTATGACTGCTCACACCACAGGCATCTTTGACACCAAAGACCCTTGGTCCCTAACCAGACCCCAGAGGCAGAAGCCTGCTTAACTTATTAGCAGCAGCCTGGCTCCCCACTTCTCACCACCCTGATCTCCTACCCAGGGACCCACCTCAGGTTCCTGGCCAAAGTCCTGGAGCCCTGCCTTATGTGTGTCTCTGAGCATCAAACTCCCCATGCCGGGGGGAGTGCCTGTCTAGCAGCTGTTGAGGTCAGAACCAACCAGGATTCTGAAGGGGAGGATTCCAGGGTGGTGGGGCCCTCTCTGCACTGGAGCTGTGAGGCAGCTGTGGCTGAGGGATGGCCCTGAGACAAGGACAAAGAGAGCAGGGTAGGAGGGGCTGGAGACTTACTGAGTAGCCTCTCCCGGAAACCGCCTGTGCAGAGCTCTGTGGGAAAAAGTAGGAAGACAGTCAGTGACAGGCTACACAGCACAGCCAACTGCCCCCAGCAGACAGGCCAGCAGACCGTGGGGACAGTAGGGCCTCACTAGAAAGGGGAGAACAGGGCTGAGCATAGTCTTATATCCTGTACCCCAGAGTTTCTGGAGTCTTCTTTGAAGCAGTGGTCTCCCTTCTGGTTTAGCCAGGCCTGCAGTTATTGCAATAGCTCTGGGCTAGCCTAGGAGGCAGGCCCTACCTAATAGAGGGGGCCCCACAGAGATGTCCTTAGACTATCCTCAGCTCCTTTAGGGGTGGGATGCTATAGCTATTCCCCAAAGTGCAGCAGAAAGACCCTTGCTGATCTCGCCACTTCTGCCTGGGATCCATAGATAGACCCTTCGAGAGGAGTGTGGCAGCATGGGCCCTACAGGCCAGGTGGCTTGAGGGTTAGCCAACAGCCATTGTGGAGGCTGGCATGAGAACCCAGGAGTACTGGAAAGGTTCTTTCTATCTGGCTTAAGAACCACCAGAACACAGCCAGCTGCATCTCAAGCTGGGCCATGTACCAGGTTCAACCGCGTGTGTGTGCACCTGCAGCCGAAGCTGTGGCAGGAGGGGGTGGGGAAGAGGACTAGGCTACTGCATCGTACATAGTGGGGGCTGTGTGGCAGGGGAACATGATGACTTGTGACAATAAGATGGGGACAGAGAGCAGAGGGCGCAAAGGAGTCAGCAAAGGGAAATGGGAACCAGTAGGCCAAGCTGCAAGTCCCTCCCTTCATTCAAAGCCTCCCGAACACGAACACCCTTTCCTATATAACACCGACAGGGCTAGGCCTAGGGTCACTGTTTGGAGGGCGGAGCTCACCCAATCCTACCCCTGGTTGGATCCCACCTGCCAGCCACAGGCAGCTGAAAGGGTGGGGGGTGGGGCATAATTGGTAAGTTCTCAGCTTCATGTCGAGCTGTGTTCAGAATGCTGCTTCATTCATCCTGGGCTGCAATTAGAGTGCTAACTAGGGCAGCCCTGCGGCCCCAGACAATTACCAGCCTATTTTCCCATCTTGCGGCAACAAGATCAGGAGCCTGGCAATTATGCCTCCCTCTGCGGCAGCAGGCTGCACCCCCAATCCCCTATTTAAATGATAATGAGACACGACTCATTCAATTTAGTCCTTCAGAAAAATGTACCACCCTGAGGCCTCTTCAGGAGCTGGGCAGGGTTGGTGTCAGTGGTCATCTCCTGAGCCACCAACTCCTTGGGTAGCCCCTCTGTTTCTACCCTAGTAGTGGGCCAGCCCTGTGACAGGCTCCAGACCCCTTCCACCTGGCTTTGTGGCTGATTAACCCAAAGACCTGGTACCCAGGGGTCTCTCTCGGGGACACTGATATATCCCCAATTCAGTTCACTGCATGTGCACCCCTACCCTGCACGACCAGCCCCAGGTACCTCAGGACCCATGCCAGGGTATGCAGCTAACTGTCCACTCTTCTTTGGGCAAGGTTAGCCCCTGTTTCAGACATGGCCTGACATCTATGAATTCAGACACATTTGTGGAATCATTTCTACCCAATCATCACTGCAGGATGCTGGTGTAGCATCTGCTCTAAGCCACAAGGATGTCCACCTTAGGGTTCCAGGGCCAGTTCTCAGGCTGCTACACTGTACTATGAGATACTTAATATTCCAGATGGGCTCCTGCCAGCTCCTAACTGCTGTCCTTCATTTACACCCCTCCTACTGGTGAGGTCCTAATTTAACTCCTAATTGCTCATGAGCAGCCTCCATGTAAACTGCCAGGCATGGTCAAAGCCACGCAACAACTGCAGGAGGCCACCAGGATGTCAGTAATGGATACTCACATCGCTCAGCTGGTCCCGGGAGCTGCTATGCTGAGAGCTGGAAGCTTCAAGGACGCTGTCATCATCACTGTTCCGGTCACCCCCTCTGGCCATGGTGACCTTCATCTGGGGACAGGGAGAAAAGAGTCTCAGGCAAACATGCACTGACTAGTACGACTTCCTGACCAGGGTCATACCCTCGCCACAAAATCAATTGGAACTAGGCTCATTCCAGGGCTGGAAGTGCCAAATGGGGCAGGGGACATTTCCCCTTGACTTGAAGACATGGGTCTGTTGGGAGAAACAGCAGAAGGAACAGAAAGATTTTCGGACAGGAACCCGCCTGGCTGACTGCTTACAAATTCATCACCAGACAGGACAGGAAAGAAATGCCCCAAGGAGACACCATCACTGACTCTATCCTTGATTCTTCCAGTCACTGACTTTGAAGATACTCCAGGAGACTGACGGGCTACACACCAGGCTTGCTCTCCCTGCCCAAAGCCTGACCTCTTCCTACTGAGGCCATGCCTGGGCTGGGCTGCCCACCCTACTACATCAAGACATTACACCCATGCACCCACAGTGCCTCTCTCCTTCAGTAGGCACAGCAACTCCTTAGGTATGTGACCTTGGCTACTTCTTAGCTCCTGGATGCCTTGGTTTGCCATTTGCAGGACAAAGTTGTAGGTACGCACAAACATCCCAGGGGCCAGCTGATACTGGCTGTCCAAAGTGCTTTGCACGTTCTGAGACTGTTGGCTGTTTGGAACAGCCCTTAGGACAACCCATTTCACTCTCAGCTCAGAAAAAGAAAACAGGCCCAGGCAAGGTGACAGATATCACTGGCCTTGGCATTAGACACCAGCAGGAACACCCAGCTACATAGCTAAGTTCATAACATCCTGGGACTATTTGCAGAGGCCATCTTCTGGCCCCAGTCATGACCACAACTGTCCAGGTATGATGACCTCACACCTCTGCCCAGTATAAGTCTGTGGTATGTTTAATTCCCACTTTTTTTTGTTTTTGTTTTTGTTTTTGTTTTTGACTTTTCGAGACAGGGTTTCTCTGTAGTTTTAGAGCCTGTCCTGGAACTCACACAGAGATCCACCTGCCTGCTTGCCTCCTGGGTGCTGGGATTAAAGGTGTACGCCACCACTACCTGGAGTGACATTCCCACATCTTATAATGGATGAACTTGGTCTCCTCATAAACAAACTGGGTGCAGTGTTCAGCTAGCATGGGATGTTGAGGGCTATGTGAATGCATGTGAGCATTTGTTCTCCCCTGGTCTCATATCCTAGAGCCACTGGTATATGTTTGGTTAAAATCCTTAGAATCCAGTCAGTCAATTTCACCATAAGTATGTGCCAGCCCTGGAACCAATTGGTTTAAGCCCCTGAATCTGAAAACTTCCCCCTAGCCCCAGACTTCCAGAAATCCACACCCCTCCCCCTTGGATCTAACAGAGTACCAAGGCCAAGACACTGACCTGATGTTAGTTCATGTTCCAGGTGGCTAAATTGGGGCCCTTCACCCAGGCAAGGTAGGGTGCAATGAGCTAGGCTAACCAGAGGAGCTGAAGGTGATCATAGTTACTGACTGAACTGCCCGTGGAGACTTTTCATTACTACTGGACCCATTGAGAATCTACTGATATCTCTGTCATTGGTTTGGCTGTAATGAGGGAATTCTCTCTTCTGACCTACAGTGGACAAAGACTGCCAATTCATGAGGGCTGAAATGCACATCTGTGTGGTTGAACTATGAGTACACAGGGCATGCTTCCTGCTTGACACATACATACAGAAATCTTCTTTTCTGAGCCAGACGCTGGAGTGAGTGATGGACCCTACGACTGACTCCATGATAGAACCCTGTAGGTGGGATGGGCTGTGTCTGCTACCATTTCTTAAATAACTGTCTTCTGTAAAAGGAGTTCTTAATTGGTTGAGATAATGAGAGATCAGAGAGGAGCAAGCCAGTCTTCAGAGTTGAAAACCCCATTTCCTGCAGTTTTATAGAGCTGACTGAGTCCTATATTCCGGAAAACACTGCGGACACATGAGACAGTTGTCACCTGCTTCTGTAACCAGGTGGATCCAAAACAGCCCAACCTGCTGACCTTTTGGTCTTTCCTGCTTCTTACCCGCTTTGAGAAAGTTTGCCATTAGCTATGCCAGAGGCTGTGAGATACCATGCTTCCATCTCCACCTTTGTGTGGTAGAATGAGGTAAACTATTTTGTTGTTGTTGTTTGTTCTGAGACAGGGTTTCTCTGTAGCTTTTGAAGATTGTCCTGGAATTTGCTCTGTAGACGAGGCTGGCCTCAAATGCAGAGAGATCCACCTGCCTCTGCTTCTCAAGGGCTGGGATTAAAGGCGTGTGCTACCATTGCCCGGTATGTGGAAGGATGATATCAGTACACCTAAACCTCTGTGTCTGCCTGGAGCCAGAAGGTGGCCTGCTTGCTCCAGGAGGGCAGATGAGAGTACCTGTACTTATGCCCACCCTTGAACTTTGTAGACCAGCCACAAGTCCACCCATTTATCCAATAGTTCACTAATCCACCCAAGTAACTAGCTACAATCATCCATCTATCATCAATCCATCCAACTACTCAGCTAATCAGCCAGCCAGCCAACTAACAAACTAAACATTCAACCAACCAACCGAGCCAGCATTCTCTGGGTAAGTTCTTATACATTGGGCTCTTCTAAACAATGGACATGCAGACACATACCCCTCCTCTGATGGAGCCTTCAAAATCACATGGCTCCCAATAAATTAAAGGAAGGAAAGAAACAAAACAAAACAAACAAAAAACAGCCTGAAAGACAGCAGCAGGTGCTAAGAAGGCAAACTGAGAGAAGGTGGGAGGACCACCAGAAAGGGCTGCTCTATGCCACAAGACAGGCAAGGTCCACTCACTACCTATGCTGGACAGTGCTTCATTTGTCCTGTGACACAGCCACTTTGATGGACAGAGTTGGACTAATTTGTACACCCCAGTTTGGGATGCTCCAAACATGGAATGGAGGTCAAAGATGGTCCACTCATTTAAAGTTTGCTTCTGCCACATGTCTGGGTGACTATGGCCTGCAAACTCCTGTGTAGCCTCTGCAGCCCAGGAGGTCTCCAGGGAATGGCTGGAAGCCAAGCCCCAAGGAGGAACCCAGTTACTGTACCTCTCACAGAGCTCCCTTATAGAGCCACAGGCTGATAGTCTGAGCAGCTGCTCTCTTGGGCTTGGGTGTGGAGCAGGACCTCTCTCAACATGAAGTCTCTGCAACTGCACATTCATCCCAGGTGGGCACAGCCACACTCTGTCTCTATCTCTTCATTATGGCCCCTGTGGGTTTCCAAGGTCACTTCTGACACCAGTTCTTTTCTCAGTCTTATAAGCTGGCCATGTTGGGCCTCTTGTCTGGTTTTCCATCCAGCCTCATATAGGAACTTAATGTATACATTATCTTGTGTATGTATGTGTGAGTATGCATGCCACAGTGCATGTGTAGAAGTTAGAGGACAACTTATGGGGATCACTTCTTTCCTTTCACCAAGTGGGTCCCAGGAATTTGAACACAGGTTGCCAGGCTTGGCAGCAAGTGCCTCTACCCATTTAGCCATCTCTCTAGCCCAATGGGTTTGACGGTTTATCTTTTATATTCTTTAGGCTTATTTTTTATTTTGTGTATAGGTTTGTAGCCTACATACATGTCTGTGTACCATGTGCATTAGTGCCCATGGAGACCAGAAGAGGTCATCAGATCTCCTGGAACTGGAATCACAGGTGTTTGTGAACGACCATCTGGATGTTGGGAATTGAATGCAAGTCCTCTGGAAGAGCAGCCACTGTTCTTACCACTGAGCCACCTCTCTTGTCCCATCTCTGGACAAGGGCTCACTGGCAGCTCCAAGAAGCAGGTTTAGAAGCTAAACTGGCAGCCTTGTCGCTAGAACTTTCATGGACCCTTAGTCTTGGGATTCAGCCCTTGGCTCTGGGATGTACAGGTCTATCTAGGGGAGAGTTGCAAGGAGAAAAAAGGCTGTCAGCCAAGGGGACAAGAGAGTTCCAGGAAGAGACATGGAGGGAGGTGGGCAATGATTAGGGGTCCAGACATATAGCACTCAAAAGATCTCAGAGAAAGGCCAATATTAACTTACTGGGTTCCCAAGCCTACAATGCTGATCAGTGTTCTCTCTGCACCAACCTTGCAGCCCAGCATGTCCCAAGGTCCCTAATGTGGGTGGGACAGACTGTGAGCCAGGCTGCTCCCCACCGCCCAGCAGCCTCTGTCAGCATGTGCTAACACTCCCTACTTCCTCATTCATGAGTGTGAGCCTGGGTAGGACAGGGGACATAAAAACCACAATAAGCTGACAGGATCTTTTATGTGAACATGCTACCAACTGGGCAGAGAAACTGAGGCACAGTGCAGTGCATGGACTTCTGCAGGTACCACACATGATAAATGGAAGCTTGAGTGGTACATGCACTCCTTAGGTACCAGGGGCAGGGTGGAAGGAACCCTGACTCACTCCCAATTAGCAGGATCAAAGCAAAGCCAGTGTTGTGTGGTAAGCCAGCTTTGTGGGAGAGGAAGGCCCCGGGGGATGCCTGCCAATTTCCACAGAGTAAATGCTCACACCAAGGTCTGCCTGAAACTACCAACAGTTTAGCAGCTTGCGAATTTTCTGGACACTTAGCAACCAGCTTTTTTTTTTTTTTTTTCCTAGACAGGGTTTCTCTGTGGCTTTGGAAGCTGTCCTGGAACTAGCTCTTGTAGACCAGGCTGGTTTCCACTTTACAGAGTTCCTCTGCCTCTGCCTCTGCCTCCCAAGTGCTGGGATTAAAGGCATACGCCACCAATGCAGCAACCAGCTTCTGCAAGCTGGTGTTCCTCTAAACAGGGTAAGCAGACTAGCAGGTTGGGAAAGGGCTCCAGTAGCCAAGACATGGTGACTCTAGCAATGAGGTGCCTCCTTCCCTCTACTCAGCTGTAGGCTGCACATGGAAGTGATTGTTTCCAGGGCTGGTGGCCAAGTGCACTGCTGTCCCAGGCAGGAAACATGTGCTTTGTTCTGGTGCTCACATACACTGGGGTTTGGGGCACAGAGCTA